TGGAATAATGATAGCACACAAACCAACAGCCACACTTCGCCAGCTACTCTCAAAGACAAAAGACCCCATACCCACGAGCAGGACAAATGTGATATACAAGATACCATACGGCAACTGCAAGAAGCAATTTCAGGACACACAGGCAGGAAACTCACCACCAGGATACATGAACACCAACTCGCAGCAAAATGGCATGACCAACTCTCCCACATTTCTATTCACTCTGACAAAGAAGGATGTCAGTTTAACTCGGACAACGTAACAATGCTAGGACAAGCAAAACAAAGACCAGCACGAGAATTCCTGGAAGCCTGGTTTTCAACCACTGGTGCCATGAACAAACATGTTGAAACAGACGCCACCAACATACCACAACGGAGCAAAACTGGAAACAGGACTACCCACCATGACAGACCGGACCATATAAATTCAGAATGGAACAGAATGACAGTGCTTCACCAGAGACTAGAGAGCACTGAAGATATCACCTAGAAGGAGGATGAAATGTTTGTACATAAACCAGTCAGCTTGGTGAACCAACCAACAATTCCACTAAACTATGTGTGATGTACCTGGACTTGTTGTATTGCACATAGCTAAATGTGGGAGACCAGCACAGTTAGCTAATTCTCTTACGACCTGGGCTATAACATGAATGCAACTTTGAGGACACCGTTATAAAAAAAAATCAATATCAAGCTTGATGAGCTTTGAGGAATTTCCCATTCTTTTGGCCTCTCCCGAGTTGTTCTACCTGAGCCAAGCAACATTATCTTGGCAAATTGCTTTATTTTTAAGAAGAAACTGCATAAATAATGGGTAATAAACAAAATGGCAGATAGGTAAGTATGTAGATATGAGCAGACAGAAGAACTGCGTTGGTTGGGAGCACAAATTTGAGACCAAATAAGTTACCTGGTGTTTAATGAATGATGTAGAATATAAGATAAGATGGTTATTCTGAAGTTCTAGTTGACTTTTTTTGGACAAGATGAGAGAAACTTTATTCGAGTCTAAATTTTTAAAAGTTCACAGTGAGTCTTGTATGGACTGTGGAAGGAATGACCGAGTTAAATATGGTAATATCTTGTGACCTGCTCTCATGTCATTTGGTGCAGCGCGTCTTTAGTACTGGTGTTTTCTTTGTTTTGTTCTGATGCCCTGCAGTTCAGTAGAATCGGTGCATGAGGGTTAATGCTCTTAAAAGGCAGTATGAATATCACTGGCCTTCTCTTGTGGTCAGACTGTCGGTTATTAACTGGACCCTTTTTATAGCTTTAATGAGCTGAAGCTATGAGGAGCCAGTGCTTCCATCAGGCACTATTCTAACAGCTTCATCGGCAGTGCAAAGAGACAGACTGGAGAATGAGAATGGAGTTGAAATGGAACCAATCTGAGTTTCATTCCAGCAAATTATAAGCAGGAATTTGGAAGAATCTCAAACTGGAGCAATTTAATACAAAGGTGGCAGCTATTTTACATTGGCACTTAACGTGCACATGACAGGTATCATTACTGTTAGTATCTCGATGCCAATCAGCACAGATATGTCACTTTATTATCAGTGTGAGGATCCAGTTGTGACTTAAACAAGATATTACATCTTGAGTGTTTTTGATTTGCAAATGCATAGTTGTTGGAAAAGCTTAAATTCACAGTCGCTTCAAAATTCTTCACTATTTGAATGCAAAATCACTCAAGGTCAGTTTGCTGTCACCATTTCAAGCCAAATAAAGTGAATACGTTTTGGGTAGAGGTTTTGGCTAAATGTTTTTTTTTTAAACACTCCCTCTAGCCAGTTCTGGCTGTTGCAAGTTTTGTTTTCAAATGATTTTGTTAATGTCATGTCAGCTGCCTTTCAGTTAAGACATCTTGAAGGTCAGATTAAATTTTATTTTTATTTAATTTAATTGAAGCAATGCATTTTTGAATGATAGCCCAAGAGAAACATTCCCAGAATCTATGTTTTGAACCAAAAACTCTAAACTAGGTGTACTGCAAATATGAGCTGTTAATGACATGTCTTTTGAAGTCAGATTCTGAAACCATCAAGTGGAAGGGTCCACCTTTTTAGTTTGGTCTATTGTAGATTATGTTTTTGCTGTGAATAAGAACCAGATGGTGGTGGCTGACGTGTAGAGTGTTTGTCACTAGTACCATTACTTTTGGCATGGATATGTGGAAATGATAGGTTAAAGGTGAAGAGGAGTTCAACTGTTGCCTCAGCAACTCTTGAACTAGACATTGCATTCTTTGTGAGGATAAATTCACATTGGAGTGATTATTAGGAAATTAAAATGGAATATTTGAAACCTTTGCTTGTGCATTTTTGAACCCTTTTAAGCAAATCGATGATCTTGGTGTACAGGGCTGGTAAATCCTTATTGTATTTGTATTATTTCTATCATGAGAAGGATGTGTTAGTCACTGTGTGCAGCATGTCTTACCAATCTGTGATAAATTAGTCTTGAATCGCTGCAAGAGAGTAGAGCTACAAATCTCAGCACACAGAATAACTTTGTGGCAAATCCCTGTGGGAAATGTAAGTCATTGCAGAGATCAGTGGGGCCAGTCTTCCCAGAGAAATTTAGTAGAACTGAGAGGAGGGATAATCCTTCCTTGAAGTCGATATCTCCATCCTCAAGCGTTCTGTGCCCAGATTACCATCTTCTCCAGTCTTTAGTGAATGCAATCCCTCTATTGGTGAAGTTGTGAACCTTCAAGCTTGAAATTTTAACACGGACAGTACACAAGTCTCTGGTGTAAGGAAGAATGGCTTGCATTTGTGCAGTGTCTTTTACAACCTCAGGATGCCTAAAAGTAATTTACAGCCAATGAAGTACTTTTGAAGTGTAGTGATTTTTGTAGTGTTGTAAACACAGCAGCCAGTTTGCACAAAGCAAGTTCCTGCAAAACAGACTTGTGGTATTGACCACATAAAGTGTTTTTGTGATGTTGTTTAAGGTTAGATAATGATCAGGACACCTGGCATAATGCTGTCTGAATCAGTGCTGTGGGATCTTGTAGAATTTGTAGAATCCCTACAGCGTGGAAACAGGCTCTTTGTCCCAACAAGTCCACATCATCCCTCAGAGCATCCCACCCAGAACTTTCATTTACTCTTGATGGGTAGCTATCTCCTGAGAGATGCCAGTATGACAATGGAGTGTCAGCCCAGATTGAGTTTTTTTGTCTGTAGAATAGTGCTTGAATCCTCAGCCCTTCTGGCTCAAAGGTGAGATACAACCTACTGAGCATTGGCTAACAGTTTATAGCCAAGCTTAAGCTAACTCTACCCTGTGCATGCAAACTTGCGATTGTAATTGTGTTCAGTGGTAGGAATTGTGGAATAGGATTTATTCCTATCCCCTCCCCAATGTCTAGTTACTGTGATACAAGCTGAGATCAACTAACTAGGCATGAACTGGCATTTTAACTTAAGACTTCCTGTACTGTGTGGCATAGTTCTGCATTGGGAAATACACTTACAAGTCAAACAATCTGGTAATATTGTAATTAAATATTTAATATATTTTTGATCTCAACCAAATGATTGAATTAAGCTTCCCATATGAGGAATAGGTAGTGTCCTGAGACACACATAAGCTCATGTTGGTGGCGTATTGCCCAAAGATCACTTACTGCATGTAACTCTAGCAATTAATCGAAGTTTTCTTGTGAAAGCCAGATGTTGTTTTTAAGTGCTGCATGCAAAGATTAAAACTTTATGATGCCTTTTGCTTGTAAGGTTGTGATGAGCCACATTACTGAAAAGTAACATTTCTAAAAAGCGTCTGGTTTCATTTGGAAATAAAAAAAACTCCTGCGTTAAGATACCAGTTTGCACGGTAGTATAGTATGAGTAAAAGAATGGCAAGCTACTTAAATGAAGTCAATGCTGACAAGATGGATGCAGCTCTATCAACACTTCTGTTAACACCCTGTTACTTTTTGCTAATGATTCTTGTAAATGTCAAAGGGCCCCACAGATGTATATGGTTAGATTGGAGCATTTTTGGAAACAATGGAATTAAGTTGACCCATTGTTGAAGTATTCTCTATTTTTTAAACTGTTTCTCTCTCTAAAATGTTTCATTTTAAAATGTAGTTTCTATATTAAATTATAACTATGTAAGCATTGTATTGCCACAATGCTTGATGATTTGCCTACAGTGCATAGGGCAAATCTGAGCAAACAACTATATCCAATGACTGTTGAAGATGCCCAATGTAGGCAAATCACAGAGGAGGCGGGAAGGGTGAAAGAAATATTTATTTTTTCCAAGGCATTCATAATATAGGATGAATATTTTGTGGTGAGCCTGAAAATAATCCTAACTAAAATTATCCATTCTGTAATTTGCAATGTACTGGAATTTTGATTTGAATATAAATTCCATGACTAATTGAAATGAGAAAAAATTACTTCGATTTTACAGCCTTTGAGCTTAACTTTGA